AGGTCGCGGGGGCAGCACCTTGAGCAAGGAAGCCCAGACATCTCTTTCCACAGCCTCCTCTTCCAGCTCTTCTGGGAGGATTCCAAGATGTTCCCAGGCCAACCGAGAGACATAGTCTCTCCAGCGTGTCCTGGGTCTTCCCCGGGGTCTCCTCCCAGTCGGACATGTCTGAAGCACCTGCCAAGGAAGACGCTCAGGGGGCATTCTTAGCAGATGCCCGACCCACCTCAACTGGCTCCTCTCGATGTGGAGGAGCAGCGGTTCTACTCCAAGTCTCTCCCGGGTAACCGAACTTCTCACCCTATCTCTAAGGGAGAGTCCAGCTACCCTGCAGAGGAAACTCATTTCAACCGCCTGTATCCGCGATCTCTTTCTTTCGGTCACTACCCTGAGTTCTTGACCATAGGTGAGAGTAGGAACGTAGACTGACCAGTAAACAGAGAGTTTTGCCTTACAGCTTAGCTATCTCTTCACCACAACGGACCGGTACAGAGTCTGCAATACAGCAGACGCTGCACCAATCCGTCTGTCAATCTCACACTCCATTCTTCCCTCACTCGTGAACAAAACCCCGAGATACTTGAACTCCTCCACTTGAGGCAGAACCTCACCCTTGACCTGAAGAGAACAATCCACCCTTTTCCGGTTGAGGACCATGGTCTCAGATTCTGAGGTGCTGATTCTCATCCCAGCAGCTTCACACTCGGCTACGAACTGCTCCAGTGAGAGCTGAAGATCAAGGCACGATGACGCCAACAAAACCACATCATCTGCAAAGAGCAGAGATGGAATCCTGAGGCCACCGAACCAAAAACTCTCTGCCCACTGGCTGAAATTCTGTCCATAAAAGTTATGAACAGAACTGGTGACAATGGGCAGCCCTGCCGGAGTCCAACTCCCACCCTGAAGGGGTTCAGACTTACTGCGACAATGCAAACCAAGCTCTCGCACCGCTTGTATAGGGACTGAACAGCCCGTAGCAACAGGCCCCCAATCCCATACTCACGGAGCACCCCTCACAGTGTACGCCAAGGAACACGGCTGAATGCCTTCTCCAAATCCACAAAACACATGTAGACAGGATAGGCAAACTCCCATGACCCCTCGAGGACCCTAGTGAGGGTAAAGGACTGATCCAGTGTTCCACGGCCAAGACGGAACCCATATTGTTCCTCCTGAATATGAGGTTCAACCAACAATCGGACTCACTTCTCCAGTACCCGGGTTAGGGAGGCTGTTAAGCTGAAGAAGGAGTCCTATCGAGCCTTGTTGGCCAGTGGGATTCCGGAGGCAGCTGAGGAGTACCAGAGGGCCAAGCGGTCCGCAGCCATGGCTGTTTCTGAGGCAAAAGCTCGGATGAGGGAGGAGTCTGGTGAGACCTTGGATAATGACTCTCGGTTGGCTCCGAGGAGATTCTGGCAAACCATCAGACAGCTGAAGAGGGGAAAGCAGCACTTTACTAACACTGTATTCAGTGAAGGTGGGCTGCTGTTGACCTCAACCAGTGATGTTGTCAGGAGGTGGAAGGAATACTTCTCAGACCTTCTCAATCCCACCAGCACATCTTCCATGGAGGAAGCCGAGTCGGGGGACTTTGGGATTGATCCATCCATACCTGTGGCTGAAGTCGCTGAGGTAGTTAAAAAGCTCTGAGGCGGCAGGGCTCCGGAAGTGGATGAGATTCACCCTGATTTCCTTAAGGCTCTGGATGTTGTGGGGCAGTCCTGGTTGACACGCCTTTGCAACGTCGCGTGGACATCAGGGGCAGTGCCACTGGATTGGCAGACTGGGGTGGTAGTTCCCCTCTTCAAAAAGGGGGACTGGAGGATGTGCTCCAATTATAGGGGAATCACTCTCCTCAGCCTCCCTGGTAAGGTCTATTCAGGGGTCAGGGTTGGCTAACGTTCTTAGACATGGCCATAATGGTAGACAAAGCACTCCTCATCTCCGACTGTGTGAAGTGCAAGGTGTACTGTCCACCTTTTCATAGCAAAAAAGTCAGATGAAAGCACAAAATGTCCTCAAGACAAAAAAAATTGCACGTCTGTGAGTTCACATTGAGCGTGAAATCCGAAAGTTTAAAGAAAACAAATTGTTTGCATCTGTTATCCCTCTACCAGTTGTTGGAAGCATTAATGAACTTTACAGTGGCTTGCCTGATGGTTAATTATCAAAATAAACCTCTTGTCAGGGCATGGGCTAAGTAAAGGGAAAGGATCTCAGATGGACAGAAATTCTACAGATGAAATGAGTTCTCACAGAAGCATTTAAATGTATTTTTATTGTTATGATCTGACTGCATGTTATCAAATTTCATGAATAAACGTGAAGGCAAATAAACATCTGTTTGTCACATTTCCCGTGTTTTTATAAAAAACACGGGAAAGCTAAACCCAAATTAAATTACAGGACAGAGCTAACAATAGTGCAACTTGAAATTCATTTATTTTATGTAAAACAAATCAAAACAAATCAATTCTTAAAATGATAAATTGTTATGAAACAAAGTGACTTATTTTTTATCCTTTGAGTTTCATAGTATCTACAGCACAAGACTTATTAAAAAACAAAACTTGAGCACATTCATTCATTAAACTAGGCCAAATAAAGCGTGATTGTCCCAAATCCCATTCTTGGGAATAATAAAATAATTTCTGAAGCAGGACAGAAAATTAAGATATTGTGTGCATTTCTTTAAATAGATCATTATTTTAAATAGATCATACCGTAAACTTTTTTTTGTCATCTCAAACATGTTAAATTTATTTTTGTGCAAGAAAAAAATTAAAACATCTACTATTGTACTGCAGTTCCAATTGAAATGGAATACAATATATAGTTTTTTGGCCAGGTTGTTAAACTTAACAATTTTTACTCGTGTACATAAGACCAGTAATAAGA